CGACCTTGTTATTGAATTTGTCAAATGCAGGGCACATGCGAGTCCAGCGGCCAACAAGCGGCCAACCTTAGCAACAGGCTGGGGAATGATTAACGTCAACCAGTCAGAGTCCTCGACATCGGGATCCTGGGGGACTGCAACTTTGAACATGCGTAGTAGTAGCAAGGCTTAACGCCGTCCTTGCGAGGGCAGCATCTTCATCACTAGGGCATTACAGAAGTATCGACGCCGCGCAGTGCAGGTGATGCTGTCCGAACGATAGAAGAAATCGGCCAAGTATGGCTCATGATGGTAATGAAGGTGTTTGTGACAATAGCTCCCTCCCTATCCCATCTGATGAGGTGAGCACGATTAGATAATAAGGACGGAGAATGCGTGGGTACAATATTGAGCGGCCAGCTGAGCGCAGCATAGCTCGTTATTTGACCCAATGTATCGAAGGCATTGTCAGTCTGAGATACATTGATTTATCGACTCCAGGACGTTTGACGAATGTCATGCCCTGTCATTCCATTTGAATTTGATATGATTTGAATTTGGAAATGTCGCAGCCGTGGGATGTTGTATCCCTTATACACATAAATCCGGCTTGACCTTAAATGTGAATGCCGAGCAGTTATTCGTGTCTGCATGTTTGGACGTGTCACAAATGATAATTGGGAGCAAATGGTCGTATAGCGTTAATCTGGAGTTAGACTGTCAACGAACTTAATATCATAGGGGTAGGATCACGCACGAATGGTTCATAAGCATCCTGCTCTTTTGAAATGGATTCCAAGTCAAATACTCCAGTTTGGGAGGCTGAAGCGAAGTCTGAGGGAATCGTGATTTTTCCGGTTCGGTAGAAATGCATTGAGAAAGATCTCCACTGGCATCGGGCCAACGATATTCTCTTTGATCTCCTTGCCCATGGCATTAAGAGTGTCTATTCGGCATCGCACAAGAGTCATAAAAGGTAATATAGTGGAACTGTCCCGTTTGATGGGAGTGTCAATGGTTAAGTCATCCGCACGTTCGACGGTGTCAGGGGTAGCGGGAGCTGGTTGCGAGTCCTGCACGTCAACCTGTACTGGTATTACAACATCTACAATGGAGCCATCAGCTATCATAGGGCCGATCATGATATATACAATTTGATACAGATATGTATGTGTGTATGTACGCATGGGTATGGGGTATGGGTGTCCAACACCGGACATGCTTTGTAACAAGTATGCTACGAGGTATATGTGAGAAAGAGAAAAGAGTACGAATAACACATAATGAGCTTTATATAGAGAATAGAACTCAGTCCGGATGTTCCTGGTATCTCACGTGATTATGTGATTCAATAAACGACAACCGTCGCAATGATGACTAAATAAAATGTACAGCATTTAAGGACACATGAAAATGAACCCTATTTGTAGTATTTAGGGATGAAGAGATCAATCCTATTCATTGTGAGAATAGTATAATATATCACGGAGAGGGATGCACCAGACAGAGGGAAACAACAACAATATGACGTGCAGAGAAGTTCCACCGCATGAAATGCGACACCACCCACTCCGGCATGACAATTTCAAGATTTTCAGCGAGGGCCGATGAATATAAACAAGCAGGGAAGTGAGGATAGTGGCGAAACAGATCTGGATGAGAGTCCAGCGGGAGGTGGCGCTGCACAGCAAAGCGCACTCCTTGCTCCATTTCAAAAATGTACTTGATGATTCCTGGAGTTCGTTGCATGTTCCTGGCGCCGGAAGGATAATAGAGGATAAGGCTGTTACCCACATGGGTGGAATAACGGGTATAGATTGACCCCCCGTAGAGTGTGCGAGCATGTAAGACTACCCGCCGAACATGAATGAGCTTGCGGAGGTCTTCCGGTGTTGCATTTGCTGATATAGGGGATGTCTTGCGATCTTCACGCAGATCATTAGTATCGATTAAGGGTGACACAAATCTGTCAAATAAAGCCTTTACATCCCTAAACAACGGGAGGACAAGAAGGTCAGTTGAGCCAGTATTTGAGCTTCGCAGCCTGGATATATGAGTGGAGGAGAGTTGATTCTTGCTGACCTGTGAGCCAGCGTAAGTCCATCGTTGACAAGGAAGTTGAAATCGTACCAAAAATATGATTGCTGGGCAGTCGCTGCAGCTGCCAATGAGGCGCTCGTATGGGAAGCACCACCATGATCGCACAGGACCAAAGAGCTGTAGGTAGTCCCACATGTGCAAGGCCATATGACCATTAGTGCGATGTGGTGCGTGAGGGAGTAGTGTCTGTAAGTCCCTCACCCAGTCGACAATGTATCCACGGTACGCTGCTGCTTGAGCCGTCGTCATAGATCATAAACATACAATATGAACAGCAGATATGAGGGCCATCGTGTGGTCGAGGATTGCATGACAGTTGGCTGCAATTTCTGAGTTGCGGTGTGTAGACCCCTCGCCCCATAAACTAACTAGCACTATGGGCAAGTATACAGTCGTTAACGTGCACCATTCATCGGCCTTTATAGTCCCAGCTTTGGTTTCACCAAAGTTATAGGGAACTGATCTCAATGAAGAGGGCGTATCTGCTGTCCGAATGACATCAGTAATACGTTGCATGACTTCTGGGGTAGTGATACACAATGTCGACGACCCAGGAGTGAACGGTTCCGTTCGATGCTACAAAGGATGCTTAAAAGGGTGCAAGAATGCCAACACCATAAGATAAATTACTGACCCAAGCGATAAGAGATCTAACCCAGTGGGCTTTGTATACTTTTTGCCAGGGTGTGTGACACCTGGCCCAATGCCCAAGCCTACTGACACGAATCGAAGACACGAGACCTTCTTCGACAATAATTTCCTCTCTAAGTTGGAGATGTGGTCCTCAATTAGCTGCGCGTCATTTCCCTCAAGGTTGGGAACCGCTTCTGTAAGGAGGCCGTGAATTGACTTGACAACCCTGATATCTTTCTCGCTGAAGTCTTGGGGTTTGTTAAGCTCGACATTGAGAAAGAGATGATCGAAAGCAGGGATAGGATCAGCCTTGCAATGTGCAGAGTCAGCAGTGAGGCCTAAAAATTCGCGGAAATGAGCGTGCGCGAGACCCTCCAGGAGACAATGCATGGTGTCGATGACGATCTGACGAGAGGGATCCCAGTATGGTAACCTCCATAGTGTCGACCACCGCACCCTGTGTGCTGAGAATAACTTATTGCATTCAGCCGAAGTTCCAGCGTTCTTCCAAAGCTCAGCATAGTGCCGCACTTCGCTCTTGCTCCGAAGTCTCCAAGATTCAGACTGTATATCTGTTCTGCCGCAAGTCGACCTATGCCAGCAATGACAGGTGGTACAAAAAAAGTGGCTCGTTGGACCTGCCAGCTGAGCAGCCTTTCTTGCTGCTGGGAGGTCACACACTAAACAAGCTATGGCGCTGTGTGTAACCTGACCACGAGTATGGAGAGCTGTGCGGTTGTAACGTATTCCGTGTTCCCAACTGTCTAACATGTCATCGACCACGGGATCAAGGAAATGATTTAACTAATCTCCTGAAGGTTCCGAAGGTCCGGGAATGATGCCGGCTAAGTACATGTTCTCGGCTTTGTACCTGATATCAAGGGGCAGGTTCAAACAAGCACAAGATATGATGCTGGTGGACATTGAGGCATTTCTCTGCAGATTGCCTTCGATGTTGAAGAAATCAATGTTGAGCGTAAAAGCATATTGGCCCTCGTCGCCTCTATCAATAAATAGAGACTGTCCCGAAGGACCACTGAAAGTGCGAAAAAAGTCCGCATTGAGCCCCTTCAGTGAATTTACCCGTATTAGACGGACAGCTAAGGGTGACAATGTACCAATAGAAGCGGGTCAGCCCATGTGGGCCCATGGCAATAAGTGTACCATGCTAGACGAGTGGGCCGGTGGTTAGTGTGTACCTGTTCCAAACGGATGGGCTGGTGGTATATAGTGTAGATGGTGGTATAGGAATGTAGTGTATTGTCTATTATGAATAGCAGTGAATGCAGTGTCCGATGTAGACGAGTGGGCCGGCTGAATGGTGTGCAATATAAATGAGTGGGCCAGGGAGATGGGTGTGATGGAGACGAGTGGGCCGAGGGTACAGGGTACAATGGAGACGGATGGGCCGGGGGTATGGGGTGCAATAGAGACCAGCGGGCCAGGGAGATTAGTGCGATGGGGACGAGTGGGCCGGGGGGATAAGCTCAATGGAAGACGGGTGGGCCGGGGGGGTAAGCTCAATGGAAGATGAGTGGGCCAGGGGGAGTAGGCACAATGGAAGACGGGTGGGCCGGGGGGTAAGCTCAATGGAAGACGAGTAGGCCAGGGGGAGTAGGCACAATGGAAGACGGGTGGGCCGGGGGTAAAGCTCGATGATATCCCATCCGGTAGATGATGGAAATTTCTGCCGGTATTGATGCTGAAGGAGAAATGGATGATACAGATGAGCCGGATAGCCGGTAGTACATGAAATGGATGATACAGATGAGACGGTAGTATATACAATGGATGATACAGATGAGCCGGTAGTACATGAAATGGATGATACAGATGAGATGGTAGTACATACAATGGATGATACAGATGAGCCAGATAGCCGGTAGTACATACAATGGATTATACAGATGAGCTGGTAGTACATGAAATGGATGATACAGATGAGCCGGTAGTACATGAAATAGATGATACAGATGAGCCGGTAGTACACACAATGGCTTATACAGATGAGCTGGATAGCCGGCAGTACATACAATGGAGCAACCGGTAGTGGTCAGTGTGATGCATGTGAAGGTGAAATGGATGATACAGATGAGCCGGATGAGCATGAACATAATCTGATAGTGCGCTGTGTGATAGCGGTGAAGGTGAAATGGATGATATAGATGAGCCGGCAGAGGGCCATCCGGTACCAGGATATTCTCACTAAATGCAAGTTATGCAAGTCAAATCATATTCATTGAAAGCATGCAAGGTTGACAACACAATGTAGACGACAGGTACATATGAAAACATGAATGATGTGCTACTGTGTCCCATCACCGGAAGGCTTGCTTGGATATCTAGCACTCACTGACCGACCTTGTTGAGATAGAGGACCATATCGCACACGTGGCAAAGGAGCCGAGATGGACTGTGCATCAGCCGGCATACTTGATGGTCCGGCAACCGGGGGATCAGGAGATGGCATAGCCGGAGATCCAGCTGGAGGAACAGATGATCTGGATTCCCTCATGGTCAGTGGAGGGATGTTGGTGGGAGTGGATGGCGCCTGGTTAAGCCTTGCGACTGGTGAGCCATCTGCAGTGTCACCAAACGCATCACCACCGGTCTGTGCACCCATCCAAGATACATCCGGGGTGAACACATTGTTGGTGACAGCTCGGGCAAACGCACTGATGGATGGGCCGGGAGCTGTGATGGGAGGTGGATTGAATGCTGGCGGTGGAGTTGATGCTGGTGTTTGAGCGGATCTATGCTCCCTCAGATACCTGACAATGCCTCTCACTTCGGCAGTGCACTCAGAGAGGAGTCCACGCTGCACCTGCATATCCCGCTCGAGTTCATCCACCTGCATGGACATTGCACCATCAGATGCCTCTGCAAGGTCCATGCGACGCTCCAGGCGACCTTGCCGAAAGTCCATTTCCAATCGATCGCGTGTATGAAGGTCCTCCATCTCAACGCGAATTTGGGCCAACATGGCCTCCATCTGGTCATGAGAAAGGGGGTGCCGGGTGGGTGGCGTGCGAACGACCGGTAACGGTGAGAACCGGATGTTGTCCTCTGAGGCCATGGCTGGTGATGGAGCTGGAGGTGGCAACTCGTCAGTGCCGGGCTTGATCCAGTGATCCGCAGGGAAATCGTCTGCTGACGCCAAAGGGGCGGATTGCTGTTGGGCACCCGGCACACCCACAGTGCCATCGAACATGTCAATGTTGTCGTCTTCCTCTTCGATAGGACTAGGTTGCCAGATTTTCTTTTCTACAAGCATGGTGAGAAACACAAAGCAACCGGAAGCAAAAGACTTACCTTTCGCATTAGATTTCCCCACCATCTTCTTGCCGGTCGCTTTGGACCGGGTCGTCTTAGAGCGCGTGGTGACTGTGGCTGCAGGTGGTGCAGTGTCAGTGGTGGGGGTAACGGTGGCACTCTCTGTATCTGGACGGATGCAAGCCATCTTCCAGATGTGGCACAACGTGCATGTCGAGGCGACATCGCCTTTCTTTGTCAACCGGGGGCAACACTCCACCTTCTTCGCCTGGCATCTCTCACAAGGCGGCAGAGGTCCATCAGCGCGAGGCTATAATAAATCAGCATTGAAACAGCTAGCAGCGACAGGAAGACTCACCGGTTCTTGGACCTTGGTCTTCCTGCCGGTGGCCTTGCCCTTGGACTGGGTGGAACTTGCCAATTTTTGTCGCTTCCCTGGTCGTAAAGTGGCCTGCACTATGATCAGCGATGGACTGGTAGATATATACAGAAAATCAAGAACTTACCTTGGATTTGCCTTGTGCGTCTTCATCCTCCTCCAATTCATCTTCTTCATCATCTGCGGTCGCAACAAACTGACTTGCCTTCAGTTTGCCCTGCTTTTTGCAGGGACAACAGCCTTGCGCATTGATTTCCGGGGCTGTTGTCAGCGTCAGTAATGTCGAATGTAGGAGCAACAAACACTTACCTGAACGTCCGGAAGATCATCAACATCAATGACGTCGTCATCCTCATTGCCATCAACTTCCGGCGCCTTTGCCTTCCCCTTCCCCTTCACCATCTCACCGTCAGTGGTGTCAGTGTCGGACAAGATCACCTTCGACTTGACGACAGGCTTCCGGGACCGGTTGCCACGAGGCACAGGAGGGCTGGTGCTGAGTCGACGTTTCCGTGTCGTCGATGACCCTGCCAGTGCAGTTTCACCGGATGCTGCGCGTTTTGGCATGCGAATGCTGGCATCTCGCACAGGCGCCGGTACTGGTGGTGGTGCAGGTGCAGGTGCAGGGGTAGGAGCAGGTGGTGGTGCAGGTGTGGGAGCAGGTGGTGGTGCGGTGCAGGAGCAGGTGGTGGTGCCGTACCGGTGCAGTTG